TGAAAGGATGATCACAATCGGTTAGCTGATATGGAATCATTTCTGACATAACCTAAAACGGAGCTTTAACAATTCCCAAGGAAAATATCCTAAGGGCTTTTGAATACCATTGTTGCATATAATTTTCCCCATTAAATAAAGTTTAAAAACTGAAATTTTAAAGTCATCTTTTCATAGTATTTTAGTAAAGGATTAAAATCACTCATAAAGCCACTCACTGTAGCCAGCATTTTTCTAGACCTCTCAATAACATCTCCAGCAAGAGCAGCTGGCTTGGAGGAGGGGTTCATTTTTACAAAGAAGCAAGGTTTATCACTTCCCAAGTGTTACTGCAAGGATGGCTAGAGAACAACAGTGAAGTTGATGGCTGGTAGTCAGCTGTGCTCATTTACTTTTCCACACCAATCTCTTAGCTCGTGTAATTTACTACATGTTCTTCTTTGTTAACCAAAACCACAAATGTTAAGTCCGTGAGTGCCAAGGACCACAGAGTGCTCAGTAAGTGTAAGAGAATAAAGTTTCCAGTGCTGTTTATAATTTATGAGTTTTTAAATCTATTTTTACATCACCTGTGTAACCTTTGTGAATTTGGGGTTTCTGTTTCTTTTTTTATTTTATTTTTGCTTTAAGCCATGCTATTTTCCCTTCTTAGCAATTTTGTGCTCTTAATGTTAATTCTCAAACAAATGGTCTAAACTCTTCACTGGCAAATTCAGATATGTCAGGAGAGTGGGCTACGTTCCATGTGTTGCCTTTGAAATACGAGCACAGTAAGATGACTTCACACTGCCTGCGTACTCCAACCAAATTCCGGCTGAAGAATACAGCCATGACACAAGGCAGTCCTTTCATCCCAGCTCTCTTTAAAACTGTCATAAATTATTGCTGCTGGATGTATTGCCAGGAGCCTGGGGCCAATGTGCATATCTAGGAGCACGGGAGGGGTATCCTACGCCACCCTCCTGGCTCAACCAGCTAACAACCTTTTCCTTCCACCTCGGCACCTTGAAACACAGCAGTAGATTGACACAACGCTATCTGCCCCTTGCCACAAAGCAGTCATTTCACTATTTGAGGGATGGAAAAGATGTACCTTAAAAGACACAGAAGCGATAGACAAAAGGGAAGTTAAGGGAGGCAGTTAAACCACTTCAAAGCTACTTTTAGAATTTCAGGCTGCGTAAAGAGTGGCCCTGAAACTGAGAGTGAAACCTCAATCTTTCGTACATTCATCTTTGAAGCCAGAAGTTAGGAGGAAGGTTGGCTCTGAAAGCACAGCCTCATGACTTCATGAATAGCAAATTTGTTATTTCCCCCAAATTTTCTACATTAGCTTTGCTTTAAATGACTGCAGCTGCCCTGAATAGTCTCCCTCATCTTCTCTTTATTTCTTCTATTCCCCTCTCCCACCTTTGTTCCTCAGATTCAAGTCTTGCACAGAAACTGAGACTTGATTTTCAGCAGAATATACTGTGACCAAGCCCCCTGAGGGGCTGTCTGTACATTAAAGAAATGGAAGTGTCTTGAATCTTGTCTGTCGTCCCTCCTTGACACAAAGTAATCACCTTCAGCTGGGCCAAGTTTATTGAGGAAATGTTCAGTTTTCACATAATTTTGCTGCAGCACCACAATGAATGTATTTCTTTGATGGAAGAAAGAAACTTCATGAAATAAACTGCTTAAGGATTTGGAGTTGGAGCTGAAAACATGAGCTGCTTTGTTCTTATGACAACTGCTTTGCCATCTAAAACATTTCTCCATGTTGAAGGATCTGTCTTTTCTCTTCCAGCCACAACCCTCAAGCTACAATAACAGGCTCCTAATTTTTTTTAGATGCCAAGGTTATGAATACTCTTTTATGAATATTTTCCTTTGAACTCATTTCTCTTGCAGAAGAAAAATAGCCCTTCGTATTGCAGGGTTGACAGTAATAGACAAAACATACAAATTGTTCTCTTAGGGGCGATAAAATGCTCCAAAACGCACATAGAAAAATTCCAAATGCAACCTGATGTTTATGGAGCACTGTCTTTGCAGCTATAATTTGTAAAAAGTAATATTTCTGACAGGCATGAATTATAGAGAATATATTTCAGAGATTAATATCCGGTTAATGCCTTAAAATGTCTCCGTTTATGACATCATGGCTGCTTTTCCCATATCAGTGCAAACTCTTAGTGAGTAGAATTTGAGGATATGTCTTTTCAAAGGAAGAAAACCTCCACTGAATTAAGCTGCTTATGGTTTTTTTTTTCTTTTATCCTATTTCAACATATCCACCAACCTCCTCTAAAAATAATTCAACTAATGCGAACTCAACAGATTATAGTAGATCTCTTATTAATTTCATTTTGCCTTCAAAGGAGCTTATCATTTAGGCTTATAATTATGTATGCAGTACTGTCAACTAATGTTCAGGTTCCTCCTTAAAACTTCATTTCATTCTGCTTTAATATCTTCAGTCTGTTAGACCATTTCTTTTTTTTTTTTTTTTTTTTTTTTACTGTTAAAAAAAAAAATATTTTCCCTGAACTCTTTTCAAATGTTTTCTCTCATCCAAAAAATTAATCCAGAAAACTCAGCTCCCTTTAATCCTGCTTTGTGGCTTAGATACTTTAGTCCAAAACCACTCGTGTTGATTTCTATATACCCATGCTTATGCAAAAATAGCCTTCACTACAGCAGAGTAATCATTCTGCATGGAAATGATGTGTCTCTGAAGCCTATGTTGTCAGGTGAAACACAGTAGCAATGACCTAAGAATTCATCCCCAGGTTGAAATGACCTATAAAAATTTCAGGCTGGGTGCGGTGGCTCACGCCTGTAATCCCAGCACTTTAGGAGGCCAAGGTGGTGGATCAGCTGAGTCGGGAATTTGAGACCAGCCTGACCAACATGGAGAAATCCCATCTCTACTAAAAATACAAAATTCCCCAAGCACGGTGGTGCATGCCTGTAAACCCAGATACTCGGGAGGCTGAGGCCAGAGAATCATTTGAACCCAGGAGGTAGAGGTTGCAGTGAGCAGAGATTACGCCACGGCCCTCCAGCCTGGGCAACAAAAGCAAAACTTTGTCTCAAAAAAAAAAAAAAAAAAGGCCGGGCGCGGTGGCTCAAGCCTGTAATCCCAGCACTTTGGGAGGCCGAGGCGGGTGGATCACGAGGTCGAGAGATCGAGACCATCCTGGTCAACGTGGTGAAACCCCGTCTCTACTAAAAATACAAAAAAACATTAGCTGGGCATGGTGGTGCGTGCCTGTAGTCCCAGCTACTCAGGAGGCTGAGGCAGGAGAATTGCTTGAACCCAGGAGGCGGAGGTTGCGGTGAGCCGAGATCGCGCCATTGCACTCCAGCCTGGGTAACAAGAGCGACACTCTGTCTCAAAAAAAAAAAAAAAAAATTCAAAATACAACTATTGCTTTGCATTTGGCATTAGGAATATTCTGCATAGTTCTTTTCACATAAAGGGCCAATATTCTAGAGTGGTTCCCAAACATAAGCTTTAGAGCTAGACTGCTTGGGTTCAAATCCCACTATTACCGCTAACTATGTAATCTTGGAAAATACACTTAACTACTCTGAGCATCATAAAGTAAGCTTACTAATACCACCAACCTCGCACAATTGTGAGGATTAAGTCAGTAAAACATACAAAGCACACGTGACTCTGTCTAGCACAGAGTTAGCACTTAGTGTTAGCTCTTAATATCATTAACTCACAAAGGTATCACATCCCTTTACATGACTTTGGAAGGACATTTGTAAAACAAAAAGAAATCCTAGAAAAATCTAATTCTGTAAAATATACTAACATGAAATTGTAGACAGGTAATGTTATATATAAATGTATATATTTATATATAGCATAGAATACATCTAAATATACATGTAAAATTCTGGCTATATTCTTCTATATAATTTCCATAGTCAAATAGATAAAATTATTTTTATCCTTTTCTTACCTGAAAACTATGTTTTAGCAAGTAAATTACTTTCCCAGTGACTTCCATTGTCATTTAGCACATTAATTCACTGAGTATTTACTAAATATCTTGTCCGAACAGGGAACACACAGAAGACAGTGGCCCCAACCAACTTCATCTGTATGCCAGGATCAATTTCCTCATTATTTAATTGATCAAGTTAGTATTTCTAGATAATGGTTTGCTGTAGCTAAAGACAACTTATGAATGCCTGTGTGTCTTCAAAAAAACAATGCTCTAAGAAATTAACCAAACTTGAATACCATATAATCTACCTACTCAAAAATTGTCACAACTACTGCAATACTATTGTGTTACCTTAATATTGACTTGAGAGTTCTGTCCTCACCTCAATCCAAAACTAAAACAGCAAATATATGCCTGGTAATTACAACATTTAACAGGAAACAACAGGTCAAAAAACTATAATACAGTTTGATTATACTCTATAAGAAAAATCTGCAGTTAAGCAATGTGAGAAGCCTAGGTGCAATGGCTCATGCCTATAATCCCAGCACTTTGGGAGGCCGAGGAAGGAATATTGCTTGAGCCCAGGAATTCAAGATCAGCTTAGGCAACATGGAGAAACCAAATCCATACAAAAATACAAAAAAAAAAAAATAGCTGGGCAAAAAAAATATATATATATATAGCCAGGTTGTACCAGTCTGTAGTCCCAACTACTCATGGGGCGGAGGGGCGAGGATCATTTGAGCCCAGGAGGTCAAGGCTGCAGTGGGCCATGATCGTGCCGCTGTACTTCAGCCTAGGCAACAGAGTGAGAGAGACCCTGTCTCAAAAAAACAAAAAAGTGGGGGGATATAAAACTAAAGATGAACTAATAGTGATTCTATTAATATAATGTGATTATAGTTTGCTTTTCTCCATTTTCCAAAACTTTTGTTATTGACTACTATTTTTATAATGAGAATGTCAAATTTGCAAAACCCTATAAAAATTGGACTGTGTGTTAAATAATAATCATTCTTCCTTTATATATAAAAAGACATCACAACATAGCATTTAATTCTGATTTTAATTTCCATAAGATTAACCCTACAAAGATTTCTCAAAGAAATCTGAGAGCCTTCAAACTACGTCTTTGTTTTGTATTACATGTAATAGATTCCCACACATGAAAAATCATAAAATGAAGGATATTTTGCAACCACCATTTAAGTACTGTTTAGAAGACTATGATATTGAATAAATGAACCTGATTTTGCTTCATAGTATTTATCCAAAAGAATTTTTGAAAGATATTTATTTTCCATTTTCCTTACACATTCCATCTTTTTCAATCCGTAAATAAAAATCAATGAGCAATTTAGGATGCAATATCACAGTATAATTATTCTATAATTCATCTGATAACCCAAAACACCTAAGAATAGGACAATCTATAGGATAGAAGTTTCCACACAGCATTTGTCTGAAATCAGGTTACTTTTTAAATATGCTTTGACTTTTGAATTCAATTCTAGAAGCAATTTCCATAAACTAAATCAGGATTACAAGTGAAGATATTCCAACACAAAGACTTGTAGGATTTTGTTTAGATTGTCAATGGTTGATTCATCCAGATTTTCTTCATTGTCATCCATGGTGTGCCAGACTTCAGGGAAAGGAGATGGTATCAGATGCAGAATTGGAACACCTTAGTAAGAAAGAACCAACTTGTAACCACGTGCATTACTCCAGTGAGTAAACTAGAAAGTGTCATTCTTCAAGCAGAGGGAGCTCTGTACCTTATGAAGACAGCTAACAATTCATCATCATCTGTGTACTTTCTCATATCCCACCGTTGTACTCCAAAATCACTCACTCATTAAACAAATATTAATTAATTCAGTAAATAATTTAAAAGCGCCTACTATGTACCGTTTCTTGTTCTAGAAGTTGATGTTTCATTAGTGGAAGGACAAAGCCCTGCCCATATACAGTTTATAATCCAGTAGAAAAAGAATCGAATAAACAAATATAAAACATAATTTTAGGAAGTAATAAGGCTTATTAAGGTAAGTGCTCCTCTTCTAGTCTTGCCTTTGTCAGTAAATGGTCTGCATTTATCCAGGTGCTCACGTCAGACTTCTGGAAATAATCCTCAACTCTGCCCTTTCCCCATGTCCCATGTACACATCTCACACACATCCAGTTTTAGATTTCCAATGTGACATCTAAATATCATACTGATAAGCAGCGTTGAACCTTAAAGCATTAAATGTTGTGTCTGAATCATACCTGGTGTCAATGAAGATCAAATGAAGGACTTCTTCCCTACCATTCATTTTGGTTTAAGCATCTGACTTCTAGCTTACCAGCACATAATCAAAAGACACATATTGGTGAAAGCTTATTTATAGCACAATATCTATATCTCTTTTTTAAAGATAGGTATTCATTCACATTAATTTTTATTTTCTGATTCAGGTCATTCAAAATAGTTTTAGATCGGTTCAGATCATTAGTATCTAAACTTAGCATAGTCAATCTTTAAAGAAGGATGGTCTTAATGAATCAAAATGTATCAATTATTATTCATGTTTAATTTACTTCTCAAATATATGCAGCAATTAAAGACCATTGAGTTTCGCTATGGAAGTGAGCTGATGACACCAGAAAGCTAAATAGGGTTTGGGGATGAGCAAAGTTTGAAAATATTCATCTTGATGTCCTCTTGTGAGCAGATAAGTGATATATAGTCTTGGACTTTCAAAATGAACGTAAAATACAATAAATACAATAGGTTAAAATATGTGCATGCACACACACACGTACACAACACATTACCTCTTCTTAAAAATGGAATATGATCATCCTGAATCACACCTCCATAACTGTAATTCTGGAAATACTGCCTCTCCAAAGAGTGATCCTTGAGCAAACCCAATTCATGAAGTTCATGTTCTGTAGATGACAATTAGATAAACATCTATTTTTATCTGATTGAGACTCATACTGTATCCTTAATGAGTTTGAAATCTTACCACATGTCCATAATTTTTAAAAGATTATGCAGCAGCAAGCATGGCCACACCCATGACAATAAACATCTGGGTTGAACACGAGTGCATACATTTTGGAGCAGGAGGAGAGAAGAGTCACACGTGGCTCTAAACTGACAGATGAGAACCTCCTTCGAGGTAGAAACTCAACAGAACAAAGGAGAGATAGAGAATGAAAAAAACAGAGGACAGGTGGCTAAAACAGGGGAACACAGGTGCAGGTGTAGGTGCTTATAGTTCCAAGATACTGTATAAAGAATGCCTTAAAGATACAGAGCTTAAAAGGTGAATACTCAAACAGAATAGAGATGAAGTATATCAAGTGACCATTCTATGGAAAGGGATACCTAGTGTGGTTCTCAAAGCAGTTCTTAAAGTTGTGATACCTGATCAGCAACATCAGCAACATCTAGGAACTTGTTAGAAATGCAAATTATCTGCTCCTACTCAGGCTTACAGAAATTCTGAGGCTGGAGTTCAGCAATCTGTGTTGTAAGAAGCCCTCCAGGTGATTCTGACGCACTTTAAGCTTTGACAACCACTGGCCTGCATAAGTCATGATTCAGGTCATTTAAAATAGTTTTAGATTGGTTCGGATCATTAGTATCTAAATTTAGATACTAAATGATGAATGATCTGTCATTGGTTCAGATCATTAGTATCTAAATTTAGATACTAAGTCATCAATGACAGATCAACTAGGGTCTGGAATTCGAGACCAGCCTGGCCAACATGGTAAATCCCGCCTCTACTAAAAATACAAAAATTAGCTGGGTGTGGTGGTGGACGCCTGTAATCCCAGCTACTCGGTAGTCTGAGGCATGAGAATCACTTGAACCCAGGAAGCAGAAGTTGCAGATGACAAGAGATCACATGAATATTATAAGACAACCAAATGAAATTTCCTAGGATAGCTTTTTATAATTGCTAAATTTAAAGGGTAAAACTAAACCAACTAGCAAGCAGCCATATGTCATATGATTCTAGGAGCATTGAGAACGCCCTAACCACCACCAAAAACAATATTCCTGTCTGTTTATTGGTACTTATAATTCCTTTACCATGAGACACAACTTTTTCTTACACAACTAGAGATATGGTTTGAAATGTAAATACCAGTAGGAGGGGCAGCTCAATAGGTTAAAATCGCATGAAGGTGCAAGTCATTGGCATAACTTCATTCTGGTCCAGGAAATAATAAAAGTACACAAAATCCTTGAAAGAAAGCCAAACTCAGTTTTTAGAGGTGACCATCAAAGTAAGGAAAACATACTGCAAGGAAGAAGCCCAAGAAGTTTATATTAATAATACCATCATAGTAATTCCTTCAAACCAGGAAATGAAATTTGCCAACGATGAGTATCTGAAGTTCAGACACAAGTTTCCCTAAGAATCTAGACAAATTATTTACCAATGGCAAAAGTGTGAGTTATGATGGCAGTGCTTTTCCCACTGCTTAGAAGTAATGTAAGTCTATCTTGCTCCAAGAAGTTTATGTGGCGAATAAGGAATTTCTAGCATGAAGTTCTTGCCTTCAGCACAGCCCCCTGGCCTGGATTCTACAATAAAGATCAATCTCATTTTCATCTTCCCTGATGTCTGAAGGGTTTGTTTTGTTTTGTTTTGTTTTGGGTAGGGTGGAAGCACAAAGGTAAGAATTTATTCTCCTTTCCTTACTCCAAGCCCCAAGCCCCTCTCCTCAGCCACAGATACATACGTTTCCTGGCCTGACTTGGTCTGGTCTGGTCTGAGCTAGTCTACTCCCATTTATTTGACTCTAAATCTTGAAGGATCTGGCTTTCTCTTCATCCTGACCTCTTACTTCTTTGGAAAATTGGCAGAGATTGTACTAGATTTAAAGGAAAATAATATCTGGATAAGGCAGAACATAGAAGACGCCAAAGACAGATGGAAAAGAAAGAAAACTGAAGAGTATCTTTGGTATCATTGTAAGGACTTGATCTTCATCATTAGCCAACATGCTTTGTTGAGTAAAGTTTCCTCTAGAAATACATCCTATATGCTTCAAACAGGACTCTGGGAAAATACTCTCAAACCATTTTAAAGGATGTGCAAACATGAAATATAGTATTTTATGTTTCCAAGTCAAAATATAGTTTCATGCAGGAAAATAAGCTGGGCTTACTACAAAGATGAAAATAATAATAAACTAATCAATCAAGAAATTTTTTGAGACGGAGTCTCACTCTGCTGCCAAGACTGGAGTGCAGTAGCGCCATCTTGGCTCACTGCAACCTCCGCTTCTGGATTCAAGTGATTCTCATGTCTCAGCCAAGTAGCTGGGATTACAGGCACCTGTCACCACACCCACCTAATTTTTGTGTTTGCAGTAGAGACAGGTTTTCACCATGTTGGCCAGGCTTGTCTCAAACTCCTGACCCTAGCTGATCTGCCCTTTTGGCATCCCAAAATGTTAAAATTATAGGCATGAACCACTGCGCCCAGCCAAATTATAAATTTTGAATTTTAAAATGTAGTATTTGCCAGTAGGAAGAAACTATGTTTTCTTCATTAATAACAGTGGTGCTTACCAATTGCTTGAAGTCTTTCAAACCATCTGGCTGAGTTTGGAAAAAAATTGGGAAATGTTGGGTTTGGAGCACCAATCAAATCCAGTAAGACCAATAAATCCTAAGGGAGAAAAAGTACTGTTTAATCACCGTCATCAAAATGTGTTTTATATTCATCAATAAGGAAATACAATCAGTCAAATTTAACTGCATTTTAGTAATTGAGAAAAATATGGAGAGCTATATGAATGAACAAAAGATTTACTAACATTTTATGCTAATTATTTTGGAGAACACTTTAAATCTTGCTGATGCAATGTGGACAAATAGCAAAGCATTGATTCTTTGTGTATGTGACTCCAAAAGGATATCATTAAGGATAAATTAGAAAGAACTTAAAGCATAAAAATAAAAAATTAAAAAAAGAAAGAAGCCATTTGGATAAACATTTTGTGGACTTTAAAAGCATACATTTACTTGATTTTCAGAAAGGAGTCCAAGCCTGTCTGATCTTCTGTGCCACTCTGTTTAGCCATTTTATCCTTAATCTGTAATAATACAACTCCCAAAGGAAGGCACTTGGATATAACTATTTATTAATTAAGCAGTATCTAAGAAAACTTCCTTGTACCAGAGCTATATAACATCATGTCTCTGGATCTCCATTTCCTTGTGTATCAAATAAGAAGCTCAAACTAGCTGATCTCTAAGGTTTTCTTCTGGTTATAGCTCTCTATCATCTCATCAGGAGGACTCTCCAAAGACTATTCACTAGATTAAGGCCTCCTCCTGATTTATCTAAGTGAAATAATGTGAAGGTAAATATTTAGCATACATTCTAACACATAGTAGACAAATATTTTCAGAGTCTGTGATCCTAAGGACATAGCATAAATAAATTCATAAATGAAAATTCAATATAGTCATTGTAAGAAAAAGAGGCTTCTTTGGTTTGTTATATAAATAAGTAACTTTGTTCTACTACTGATCAACCAGGCCTCTCCTCTTTGTCTGAATGTTTTTTGGCCACTTGGGGACAAGTGAATAAACGAGATGCTGACCACATTCCCCTGGCCCATTAGGAGCTGCCAATGAACAACAGGAGGAGGCAAATGCCAACATGAGGTGTGTTAGGGTTATAGAAGACACAGAATTTGGCCACTTGGACTTTCATAGAGTGAAGGTCAGTGACAGGGCAAAAGACAGGAATGAGTATGGGTGCTGGGAATAAGCTATCAGTTCACAGATGGAGTGAGGCTCAGGAATGGATGGAGGCACTGGGAAGAGTGAAATCTCAAAGGTAGCATGAGGTTCCAAGCTGCGGTTAGTGAAGATTTGGGGACAGAATAAAGATCAAATATGGGAAGACAGTCAGAGTAAGGAGAGGATTCAGGGGTCAGGGGAAGGATCAGGGATGGAGTGTGGGCCCAGGAAATGGGGATGAAAATGAGGCTGTGTGTTGCATCCATTACTTAGTAATAATAGCAGGGGTTTAAGGCAGCAACAAAATATCCCCACCCCCATGTCAAAAATGCCACATCAAAACCAACACATCAAACTGTCTAGTCACATTGGAGACATGGTATAGTTTTGAAGCCACCAAGGAAATTCTTCACCCCCACCCCTCTCTTATTCCATTTCCCAAAGCCCCATGTTCTTCAGACTATAAAGCCCTCAAAGAAGGGGGTTGCCCTCTCCACCTCCATACAGTACTGAGGGAATGTGCTCCCATTGGGCCCAACTGAATCTGATGTTCCTGTAATCCATTAAATCATTTTATCATTTTAATTAAGCTCAGTCAAACATGGTTTTTAACCATGAATTTTTGTTTGTTTTGCTTCGTTTTGTTTTTTTGACAGGGTTTCCCTCTGTTACCTAGGCTGGAGTACAATGGAGCAATCATAACTCACTGCAGCCTTGAACTCCTGGGCTCAAACAATCCTCCTGCCTTAGCCTCCTGAGTAGCTAAGATTACAGGCATACACAACTACACCCAGCTAATTATTTTATTTGTTGTAGAGACAAAGTCCCCTTAGGTTGCCCAGTCTGGTCTCGAACTCCTGAGCTCAAGTGATCCTCCCTTCTTGACCTTCCAAAGTGCTGGGATTACAGGTATGAGCCACAGTGCTGGCTCAGAATCATTCTTTTTAGCTCTGGGATTCCTCAAAAACCCAATGCCTGCCAAGGAATGTTCTATCATAAACAGTCTGCTCCAAGGACGCTGTGGCATTTTTAGGTCTTAACTTGGCTTTTGCAACCTTTTTCTTAGAGGCAGAGCCTACAGCTACAAAGCCATGGAAATTGCCCCGACTAACCATGCCATGCAGTTGGCTGGTGCCTCTCGCTCCAGGTGGGTGTGGGGTCGATGCCATCTTTGCAGCTAAGTGTCGAGATCCATAGAGAGAATCTTGAGGAGACCAGTGAAGAAAAGCCTCTTCCCCATCAAAGAAAATCAGCTGAAGTGACAGATCTGGCTTGGAGTCTGAAACATTCTGGTAAAAACAACAAAAAAATACAGCAAAAAAATACTGTGATGTTGGGAAAAAAACAGCATGATTTTCAATTAATTGGGCAAAAAGATAGATGTGCCACGAAGAAAGGAAGATACCAGAGCAAGTGAAACTATGCCAAAATTTATTCCACACCACTTCCTCTTCAAATGTCAGTACACCTCCCACAGTCTTCACCCATATAAACCACGTTCTTCCATCCCCTCTGAAAATAGAAGTCTTTTATTATTTTTTTTTTTTACTCCTCATAGAATTTTGAAACAATGAAAGTGCTGTGATGAACCGTGTGATACACCACCCACTTCCCATACAGGAGGGTGTGTTGCCTCAGCTGCTGGGAGAGCTGTCAGTCACTTTAGGAATTGCCTCAGCTGCACCTCCTGGGAGTGTCCTACATCCAGTGCTGTGGTACTGGGGGCTCTCTAAAGAGTCATTGTATCTCCAGAGCTCCCCAGGGATTGGCTGAGGCTGTTGTTGATCCTGCATTACAGCTCAACTTCTCCCTCTGTCCAATACCATTTCTTTCCCTCCCTGATACCCAAGGCCACTCCCTAATAAGTGACCTGAATGTTAAACTCCATATCAGAGGGTGCTTCCTAGGGAATCCAACCTGAAACAACTGTAAATCTTTCTTGCTTCTCACCTTAAGTCTTCAATTTTGTACTGAGTCTAGCTTCAAGAGTCTGCCCCGGGAATGCTACAGAGACACAAAGAATAATAACTATAGCCCTTCCCTTGAAATAGCCTATACTTTAATTGGGCTGGGGAGAGATAAAACACGTGAGCATGGAAAAATGTGCCAATAGCCACAAATGTAACATAAAAGTCCTCTGGAAATTGGATAGAATGAGAGGCAAGATCTTGGGGTGTCAAGGAAGGCTTTATGAGAGACAGTATTTGAACAGTACTAAAAAGAGTGAGTAGGACTCTGATTGACTTTACACTTTACTCTGTCTGACAATAACCCCTGTCTTTCAGATCAGTCCTGGTACTCGAAACTCCAAAATCCTTCAATCCCACTAGAACCTCTAACCTATTAGAATGTTTCACCTTTTCACAGTCCTTCACCTTTGTAATGTCCTCACTTCACTCTATATTTTGCTTAAATTCCAGTCAATCATTCCAATTGCTCCTCAACTCCATTGCCTCTCTCTGCCTTGGTCAAACCTTCATGGCAAAAACATAATATTGAGTCCCACTCTCTACCTACTTTGTGCCAGCACTCATGCAGCTAAACCATGCCAGAGAAAAAATATATAACCACACTGCATAGCCTTGCTTAAAGTTCATGACCACCAAACCTCATGTTGGCCTTTCATGTTGACTGGCAAGTCATATTGTATTTTCTTAGTTCAGTCACTCTAGCACTCTTCCAGTATTCCACATTCCTCCCTGCCTCCTCATCCGTCTTCATTTCTAACCAATGACCTTCATTTCTTTCTGTCATGCTCATATTAGATGCCAGTCTCTGCTTGTGCACAAAATCCTATCCCCTCTCATCTGCTCAAGGACATTGCTCCAGCAAATACCATTACTCTACTTCATCACCAGTTTTTCTATCTCTGCTGGATAATTCCCATCAGCCAACAAACATGCTGCTGCTTTTCTCATCTTAAAATGTTTGACCTCACTATCTCCACCATCGACTGCCCAATTTTTTAATCCCATTTATAGCAAAACCCCTTGAAGGAGTTGTCTATTCACACTGTCTCTAATTCCACTTCTTAAACTTAGCCCAGTTGGGTTTTATCTCTATCGTGTACTGAAACCGCTCTTGTCGAGAACACCAATGACTACATTGCTACATCCAGTGCTCAACGCTAGGTCTTCAACTCTCTTTACTTATTGTCAGCATTCAACACAGTTAACCACTCCTCCTAGCTACACTCTCTTCATTTGGTTCCTAAAATACTGTATTCCTCCTACGGTAGTTAGCACTAATGGATCCCTCCATCTCCCTTCTGTCTTAATGCTAGAGAGCCCTGGGGGCTTGCTCCATGGTTCTCTTCTCATCTCTGTCCACACTCACTCTCTTGATATCTCTTCTTGAGCCTTTAAATCATATATGTGTGGTTTCGTGTGTGCTGTCTTGTGTGTGTGTATGTGTGTATTGTGCTGTGTGTGTGTATTATATAATACAGAATTTTTAATATAATTATTTAAAGTAATCGTAATATTGTAGAGATGGAGCTTTAGTATGTTGCCCAGGCTAATCTCAGTGTATATATTATATGTAGTATAATATGATAATACACACATACAAACACAACACACACATACACAAAACACAACAAACACAACACACACAGACACAAACAACCCAACACGCACATACAAATACACATACAACACAACACACACAGACATGTATATATCAATTCCAAAAACTGTGTCTCCAGCCCTAACTTCACTCCCAATCTCCAGACCACATATTCAGTTGCCAAATGAATATCTCCACACAAACATTAATAGACACCTTAAACAGCATGTCAAAACTCAACTCCTGAGGTTCCCCCTGAAACCTGTATTACCAACAGTCTCTTCAACCAAAGGGATAGCAACACCACCCTTGTGGTTACTCAAGCCAAAAATCAGTGGGGATCTCTCTCTTTCTGTCTTTTTTCCATATACACACATACATCCCCATCGAGTTCGTCCTGCCTCTGCAAACTTGTTTCCCACCATTCCTCACCACAGGCCTCTCTTTCATTTGCTTTGTTTTGTCTGAACTTAATATGTCATCATCATTATGTGGTCGAGCGTTCCCGACACTATCACACCTTTGTTTCTCCTGTGTCTGTCTGGTTTTGTTTTTTAAGAATGGGCCCTTCAGGAGCCCTCTCCTGCCTGTTCCAGTCTGGACTGACCACTAGGTCTGCTGCCCATCTGTTATCTTGGGGCTCCCGTCACCATCACCCTGCAGACTTCTGCCTCTACTACATGGGATCCCCAGTGAGCTGACCTCCATGACTCCCTCTTCCTTGATTCCTTTCTTGATTTTACTAGAGCACAGCTTTAAGCAACTTCTGAAGGAAAAAAATACAGTACATGGGAGTGAAAATTGTTGAGATTTATCTCTGAAAATGTCTTCATTCTATTTTCCTATTTAATTTGTCTGAGTCTGAAGATTCTGGGTTGCAAATTATTATTATTTAAAATATTTAAGGCATAATGTTATTGTTTTCTAGCTCCCAAAGTTTCCACTGAGAAGTCCAATGCCATTCTCATTCCCAATACTTTTTATATGAACTACTGGAATTGTTACAATTATTCTCCAGAGATCGTAATCATCTCCTTTTTTGTCATTCTTCTTTCTAAAAAAAAAAAAAAAAAATGTTTACTCTACTTTAGGATCCAACTATTTTATTGATTCTTTTTTTATTTTGAAAATAGAAATTTTAATTTCCAAAAGTTCTTTCTTATTGACTGATTGTTCTGCTATTGCAGCATTCTGGTTTTATTTCATAGATATAAAGTCTCCTCTTATTTCTGTAAGAATATTAGAATAGTGTCCTTTAAGTCATTTTCTCCTCTATTTCCTCCAACTTCATTTTTAAATTTGTATTATTTGTTTTGCTTTCTTTCTTTTCTTTTCTTACATTTTTAAGAATTTTTATTTATTTAGACAGGGTCTCACTCTGTTGCCCAGACTGGAGTCCAGTGGCTCAATTACAGTACACTGAAGCCTTGGGCTCAAGCTATCCTCCTGCCTCAGCCTCACAAGTAGCTAGGACTACAGGTATGTGCCACCATAACCAGCTAACTTTTTTCTTTTTTTTTTTTCTTTTTTTTTTTTTTTGGTAGAGATGAAACCTCACTATATTACCCAGGCTGGTCTCAAACTCCTAGCCTCAAGCAATCCTCCCACCTCAGCCTCCCAAAGTGCTAGGATTACAGGCATGAGCCACTGCTCCAGGCCCTTTTTTTCATGCTGGAGTCTGTCTGCAAATGTCTGGGCATCCGTTGTGTTCATTCATGTTAAAGAATAAGATATTGAAATGCTGGTTGGAGACACAAATTGGTTGGCTTCACTGAAGGGCAATCTGGTGCCCAGTCGGTGTTTTCTCTGAGGATTACTGAACGTCACTCTCTGGATTTTTTTGGTGAGGTGGTTTATATTCTCTGGAGAAGAATCCTCCAGTTTCCCATCTGATGGGTATAAGCTGGTCATTGGTTTTCTGGTGCTGAAGATGGGAGAGAGACTGTAGATCTCACTGTTTGATGTGTAGGCTTTCACCTAGTCTCCCCAGTTTCCATGGGGTACCTCACTGCCACCCTCCTCTCTGCTTGCTATTCTCAATTCCATAACCTCCATGGTTCAAGTTCTCTAGAAAAATATTTTCTCATCTCTATCAAAGACGCAAGGGGCACTCACCTGCCTGCCTGGTGTGGGGCAGGAATCTCTACATCCATGTACTCCTTAGACAGACTTACAAACACTCTCCACTCCAGCCCCTTTGTCACCTCTGCCTTCGTCAGCTTATCACATCTCAAATCTCTGAGCCTTTTTAGGATTCTGTCAGGGAAACCACTGACTTCTTCCATTTCCTTCCCTCTCCAGGACAGTGTGACTTTTCTCCACTCTGATAAGGCATCTGCCATTTCTCCATCCAACTTCTGTCTTCATACTGTGGTTCCCATTCACAGATGTTCTCTAGTTTCTTCAAAAAAAATGGAGTTTCCACTGGGCACAGTGGCTCACATCTGTAATCCCAGCACTCTGGGAGGCCAAGGCAGATAATCACAAATTCGAGACCTGCCTGATCGACATGGTGAAACCCCGTCTCTACTAAAAATACAAAAATTAGCTGGGTGTGTTGGCGTGTGCCTGTAATCCCAGCTACTCAGGAGGCTGAGGCAGGAGAATCGCTTGAACCTGGGAGGTGGAGGTTGTAGTGAGCCAAGATCATGCCACCGCACCCCAGCCGGGTGACAAAGTGAGACTCTATCTCAAAAAAAAAAAAAAAAAGAGTTGCCTTGATTGTTTTAACAGTGATTTCAAAGGAGAAAAAAATTGTCTTCATCATCTGAAAACTAAGTTAATTTTTTATGCTAATCATTTCATATTGCTCCTTAATTATGCCATGAGGAAAGGACAGTTTATTTTGTTTTGTATCCTGCATAATTCCTGGATAAGAAAGCAAAGGACATGTTTGTACAATATAAAGGCACTCAGAGTTTAATAAGCATTAAATAATTAAACAGATTTTTCTCACTGGCAAAAATTGTAAGATGCTTACTTTCAGTAGAGACATTGTTCTAAGCTTCCAGTTGTTTAAAGGGCCTTGAAAGTTCTAGTTCCAAATCAGACAACTTAATCACAGAACAAGAGGCCAGAATGGGACAGGTTGGGACAAGAGGCATTCTGCTCATGCCCAGGGCAGAGGCAAAAGTCTGTAGTTTTTATCTCTTGAAGCTTGACAGTTCAAGTACCTCAGTGAATCTTCAACAGCTGGGTCACTCCAATGATCAGTACAATGATTTAGTCTCATTCTGTTCTCCTCATATCCATTCATTTATCCAGCAATAAACTGTTGCGGACATTCATCCTGAGTCCCACAAGGCAACCTGCTTTTTTTGCTTCATTTCAGGATTGACAGAAAAATAGCCATGGCCTTCATTTCTAGTAACTCAGCCTAGTACCTTGGAGCTAGGAGAATCTTACTGGCCTGATGTATGAAGGTCTTCATGGTAATGCCTAATTACCAGTGTTAACATAGTGGATTACCTGCAGTCTTTCCGCCTTCAAGGCTGTATCAGTTAGCTAATGCCACAACAACAGAATGAAATAAGCCACCCCAAACACAGTGGCTTACGATACCATTACATGTCTTCCTGAGATACATAATCTCTGTTGGTCAGTGAGGGAGCAGCTGATCTAGACTGGGGTTGGCTCGGGCAGCTCTGCTTCATTCTGCAGTCAGCAAGGTTGGTTCTGCTCCAGGTGTCTCATCCTTCTGCTGGGACTGGCAGGCTAGCCAGGGCATGCCATTCTCATGGTTATGGCAAAGACACAGGAGAGCAAGCCCAAAGGCACAAGCGTTTTCTAGCCTCTGCATGTGTCACCTCTACTAACATGCCATTAACCAAGGCAAGTCAAATAACCAAGTCCAGAGTGAAGGGATGAGGAAGTACAACCAACTACAGGGGGAGGGCATAGCAAAGTTACCAGTCAGAGGATGTGGATGTGTAATTACTGTCCTATTACTGGAGAGAAGAGGGGCTAGAGGAGTTGAGAAGAATCCAGTCTACTTTCAGGTCACTTTCTACCACCATCTACCCAATTCATGACAGCTGAAGAACTTAACTCCTCAATACAAATTTAGTTACAACGTATTACTAGAAGAATAAGTTTGATACTCTCAAACTCTGCATTCAAAATAGCCTCTTAAAAAAGTTCCCACCTCACCATTTATCTCTAAAACAAAGGATTACTATGAGAATGTGTATGTTGATTCAAATTTTTTTTAACGATGACCCCAATCCAATAACTCATTCAGAGCTTTCTATTAATATTTCTGTTCACCAAAAGCAGGCATGAGCTATCTGGGAAAAAGCAAAGGAGTTCACTCAGAGAAAATATATCCATTACACAGAACAATGTCTTCAAGTCATACTTCATTTTGTGTCCTTATACTAGAAGAGCAAACATGAAAAATTAGACTTTTTCATCAGCTTCTGAACTCCCTCATCCAATTGCTGGGGAAGGAAACTAGTTAAAAGCAGCGCAAAGCATGGGACAAAGGCATTGTAGAAGGTTCAAAAAACAAAACAAACCCCCAAAAAAAGTGAAAAGGAGACTGAGAGGGTATAAACAATTCTTGCTTTCTTCAAGTTCTGCATATACAGCAAAAATGGAACCAAATATCTATTACTTCCATTACAAGATAAACCTTTTACTTCTTTACCCCATTGTATCAAGAGCTGGATCCTCATAAAGCTCTGTCTGAGGAGGGAACAAAGTATTTGTTACCTGTGAACAAAGTTTTTTGTTTTTGCTTTGTTGTGTTGACTTGGTTATGAGTGATATCAGAACAAAATGTCTTCATCTAGCTTAGCACTTTTTTTCCAATAGACCCTTAAGAACGCCAAGATTAAAATAACATCTGAGAGTCCCAGAAGTATTTTGAGCTGAGAGCATAACAAAAGCTCTGCTATGCTACATAAAATGGAGCTGAGATTCACAGATAATAACAATAATGCATTTCTGCTTCATGCTTTTCATCTTGATAGGCCTTAATTACCCACTCTCCACTTCAGAACCACTTTGCCGAAACTCCCTCCTCCAACCCAAGAGCCACCATCTCTCAGATCAGAAGGTTGTGATGTCTCATGGCCACAGAAACAAGAACAATTCTCATACCTGAAATAAACTTTCTCCTTCATTTTGCACAAAGAAATGTTGCATTTCATTTAATGTGCATTCACACCTGGGAAATCAGGTGCCAATTAATGAATGCATTGCCACGTATCTTAGGTTTATTGCCCACGGTTGATATGCCAAATCATATAATCTTTCAATTCATATTCACAATAAAAATGTACCAAAAGTCTCCATTTCTAAATGGCCTTCTCATTCCTCCAAGGATTCTATAATTCATGCTGGGTTACTGCTAATGTACTTGATCCTAGGAATCAACAAGCGGAATATAGATACCTTTAAGGAAAGGAGTTGCTTGTCTAAGGCACGAGCAAGTTCCAACATCATTGCACACGGCACTGCTGAATCAGTGGCTCCCACAAACACTCTGTTGTCCCAATGGGAAAAATACTTGGAGTCATAGTGGCAGGCGAAAACCAAGTGTCGTCTAGCGGTGGGATTGAGGGTGCTGATGATATTTGAGAAAGACCGGTACCCATAGGGCGTCTGACCCAAGAAGGTGTCTATTTCCAAGACCCAGTCAGCCTGAAGCCTCTGAATTCGCTGCATGATGTGCTGATCAAAACAAAAACCAAAAATTTAGATCTAAATGAACAGTTTTCATTTGTTAACTGTGATTTTAAAACTTAAGTAATGCCTTTCAAATTAAAATTGCAATACACGCTTATTGTATTAATAGCAATATTGTTGAAATTAATAATTGCTTTGTATTGTTATTGTAATTAACAGCATTTTTCCTGTTTAAAGGAGAAGCTAATCCTCTGCCTCTTCCCTAAACTTCCCCTAACTAATCAATTTCAACCAATTGTTAATATTAACCAATGTTAATACTTTGATGCAGATCTTTTGACATTTCTTCTCTTTGCTTATGCAAACCTACAGTAGCATGCAAACACATATATTTGGCAGAGGAGTATATGGTTTTATAGTAAAAGAATACTACTTTATATATTACTCTGCCCTTGCTTTTTTTTTTTTTTTTTTTTTTTTTTTGAGACGGAGTTTTCGCTCTTGTTACCCAGGCTGGAGTGCAATGGCGCGATCTCGGCTCACCGCAACCTCCGCCTCCTGGGTTCAGGCAATTCTCCTGCCTCAGCCTCCTGAGTAGCTGGGATTACAGGCACGTGCCACCATGCCCAGCTAATTTTTTGTATTTTTAGTAGAGACGGGGTTTCACCATGTTGACCAGGATGGTCTCGCTCTCTCGACCTCGTGATCCACCCGGCTCGGCCTCCCAAAGTGCTCCTTGCTTTTCTCATTTAACAATATATTATGGACATGTCTACAAGTCAGGAGATAGAGACACAGTTCGGTAGTAGTAAAGAACACTTTTAATATTTCTAGGAGGCTACAAAGGCATATTTGAAAAAATCAAGTAAACCAGCATCCTACAGGTCTCTATCTCTAAGCTCTTCAGGGAGAATTGCAAAGGTAGCTCTTTCTGTCCCAAGTGCATAGCATGTATCTAAGTTCAGCAAATGCTTTATATGTAATGAACACTAATAAAAGACAGCAATGCTCACCTAAGGATAATGTAGAAAGCTCCCATAACTAGGTGGTGGTTGGGGATATTTCAGCTCTCTGCTCACTGTAAGAATTAGTAAGCAACTCTGAACTATAATAACATATCAAGCAGCTTTCCCTCTGCACCCAAGGCAGGTCAAGACGCACTGCAACTGCTGGCAAATATAAAAGAGACTCTCTTTCCCCATCTCTGATGACCACCTTGAGCCTTATAAGGCAACACAGTGACTGACAGAAGAAAGCAACAGGTAGAGAAAGTAGTATCACTTCAGGAACTAGAAGCATTTTTTAAAGAACATATAGAATTTGTGATGTGAGATGTTATAGGTGAGTTCTTTGCTGGTTCACTTGCCTTTTCCCATCCTTATTTTATCTTGGCTTCATTTTCCTATGTTCCTTGTTTTCTGTTTTGTTTTGTTTTGTTTTGTTTTGTTTTGTTTTGTTTTGTTTTATAGGGCTTCACTGAGTCACCCAGGCTGGAGTGCAGTAGTGCAATCTCGGCTTACTGCAACCTCTGCCTCCCAGGTTCAAGCAATTCTCTTGCCTTGGCCTCCTGAGTAGCTAGAATAACAAACACATGCCACCATGCCTGACTATTTTTGTGTCTTTTTTTTTTTTTTTTTTTTTTTTTGTAGAGATGGAGTTTTGCCATATTGCCCAGGCTGGTCTCAAACTTCTGAGCTCAAGTGATCCACCTGCCTCAGCCTCCCAAAGAGCTGGGATTAAAGTGTGAACCACCATGCCCAGCCTGTTCCTTTCCACCCCCCCCTCAAATATCATATATATCATCATAAATTGACTTAAATTATTTTTATAAAAAGTCAAATAACAATCTAACATCAAAATAACTATTTGTCCCTCAATTAACATCTAACCAAAAACCAAAATTTCAGATCTGAACAGTTTATTTCTGGGATGGACCTTAAGATGATAAATAAATAACTGGAAATCAATGTGAGGGTTTCCTTTTTTTTTCATCCTCCAAAGAAATACAGGATTTTCTGTCCTAGCCAAGTCCCACGTGGCCTGCGCTAACTAATGTGACATGACACGTAGGCAAGAACCTCAAAAAAACTGTGGCAGGAAGCTTCCAAGGAGAGGGGAATTTAAATGGGAGAGGACACTGATACTACAGTCAATCCCGCAAAAGCCAACTAAACAAATGATTCCCCAGCTAGTCACTGCTTGCTTTTTACAGTGGGTGGACTTTGTCCTAAATAGCATTATGTATGCAGTACCTTACCTTTCCTATTGCAAATTTGCATGCTGTCTTATCACAGAATCAAAGGAAATGTTTACAACCTTTTTTGAAATCAGCGTTCATAACTCTCCACAATTCTTAGTACTGTGCTTTGCTCACAGTAGGCTATCAGTAAATATGGGTTCATCGTAAGAATAAATATGAATTGATTTAATGAGAATATATAAAACTACATAACGCAAAGAATTAATAGTTTGAATAGAGAGAAATCACTATGCATCTAACATAAGTTTTTCTGAAAAATATGAAAATGACTTGTCCCTAGACTGTAAAAAAAAAATTTTTCCATAAAAAGGGTCATTTAAAAAAAAAAAAAAAAAAAACATATACTCCAGAACATCTGGTATCCAGATGACAAACTGCTACATAAAATGGCTTCTTCAACACCAACAGCAGATTGCAAGCGTACAAAATGAATTGAAATTTTAAAAAATATATCTGTTAGCATTACTCAGAAGTTACACACAAACTTATTTCTCAACTTGCTACCAGGTCTTGACCATATCTGATGACCATGTTGACACTAAAATCCACAAGAGAATCAGCAAATGTCCTCAAAAGAGTTTTTCCTGAAGGAACTTTTTTATTCGGCGTAAATATTTTGTGTTTATCTTAGCAGCTAAGATAAATCATCTTTATAAACAATCAAACTGGCTGCATAACCTAATTAGCTCACCAGTATCCCTTGTTGTTTTGTTTTTGGCTTTCAGACTTAGTCTACGAGTCCCCACTACATGTCTCTAGGGAAACTCCCCAAACTACCACTACTATCATTCGAATACCCCAAAGCAGGGAGTGCGTGGCTGTGGCAGAGAATCGAAAGCAGCTGCGCTTCCCAACACCAAAGAAGCCAAGGGCTGGGCCCTCCAGGAGTGCCAAAAGGCAATTTAGAATATAGATCACACTTTGGGTTGCTATACATCTATGTTTTAAAATGGAGAGGAGAGAAAAAGGGAGAAAGAGAGTGAAAGAGATGAAGATAGAGATGAAGCAGGGATAGACGGAGACAGAGAAGAGAAAGAAAAAAATACAAAGATGAAGACATGAGAGCGAGAGAGGCTACTACGTGATATTCTAATTACATGATATTCTACTTCCAACAGGTGGTAGGGGGGTTTATTCTAGGTTAACACTAGTAAATGATCCTGGGTCTCATTTAATTGAACATAAATTCTAGTTTCCAGGTTCTGAGAAACACTGACATCAGTAGACCAGATTTGTTTGGAAGACACCTATTTTCCAGTATTTGCACTAAGTCTGCAAACACATCGTCATCAGCATGCTGACTTCTGCCACTTGAAGATGACTTCAGGTACCTCTTCCCTCTTGAGTGTACCATATATGAGTCCCTTGGGCTCCTCCTCTTAGGGGGCTGGCCTGAGGGTGCACCTGGGATCTATGTGCCTGATGATGTTCAGTTTCAGTGGCTCAGATGCACTATGCATCTATGGGGGATTTTACTCCCCGAAGTTTCTAGCTTGCCTCTTTTAGACAAAGGACATTGCTTACCCATTTGTAAGACTTTATCATCTTAATTTTTTAATTTTTTAATTTCTATCTTGTAAATCAATGAAATAGCTCCAAATGTAATGCCTTCAAATTATTTATTTTACAAATAACTCATCTCCTCAAAATAAAAATATCCTAATAATCCAACAGGCGGCTTTGGGCTCATCGATCAGAGTCTATGAAAATGCATAATATGGGACAGGGTTTCCCCAAAATATTATCTTTCTGTAAAAGAGAACCTATAGTAATACACATCTTTATTGATAACTACAAAATTTAATTCACAAACCAATTTTTTATCAAGTTTACCCTTTTTTAATAGCTAAGGATCTTCTCTAGTTACATCCTTGAAACTCTAAATTATAAAACATCTCATCTAGTGCTCAAACAGACCTCAGGAGAAAAAAAAAAGGCTCAATCATTTCTGTTTAAATTCAGTTCTGCATGAAAGGAGCTAATCCTAGTCAAATTAAGGCCATTAGTGTAGTTCCCTCATAATTACACTGTCATCTACCTCACTTTCGAAATGAGAATTCCTTTGTCTTCCACAGCTTAGGAGATAAGTCTCTAAAAATTAATGGTAATTTTCTTCTCAAAAAATTCTAAAATAGAATCTAAGTGAGATATCTAACACAGCCATCAGCCAGACCATGTACAGGCAGCCCAGCAGTAGTTCCCAACACATTCTAAAATACTGTCTACAAGTTTCTCCTTTGCCTCCACCCCCATGATAGTGGAAAATGTTACTGAAACTTCAGTGACACTCTTAAATTAATATGTATCTTTTTAATCACAACAGTATCTATGTATATTATTTATGCTATATACTGCATTGTGTTGAAGGTAAAGATCTATGAGCAATGTTTGTTGTGTTCATGGATTTCCAGAGCCTGCAGGCAAGGAACCTCACGCCTGAAATATGCATATCATTTCCGGCAAATAGTATGGGGAAATAAAAAAGGTTGAGTTGAATGGGAGGAGTAAGCATCGTAGACCTAGAGTCTTCCTAACAAGGAACTGAGGCTTTTGGAAAATGCCAGTTTTAAGAAAATGCTTGAGAGATAAGGCCCAGGGAATATTGTTAAAGTGAATGGTATGTGCCTCACTCTCCAACTTGGGGGTAAGAAGATGGAGAGCTGGAGACATTTGAGTGCACAAAGCACAGAGCTGATTCCTCCCAACTCTCCAGTGATAGGATAGAGACCTTAAGGAAATTCTGTCCTCATCACTGGGACGTGTATAGCCTAGAGCAAGTTAATTCACATACCTCAACCTCGGACCTTTTTAAATTCCTAACATTGAGATACTAACGGCCATCTACACACTGTTGTGAAGACTGAATGAGATGATCTATGCAAACAACTCAGTAAAGTGCCTGACCCTGAAAAACTGCTCAGTGAAAGTCAGCCATCATTGCTATTATTCCTCACTCTGCCTAAAGGTTAGACAGAACTAAGGTGCCTGCAGGGTGTCTACCATCTAATTACTTAGGGAAGCCAGAGCTATTCAGATGGAAAACACGAGGCTAATGGGGCAACAGACATAGGATATCTAGGCTAGCCTGGGGGCAGAGACTACACACTGGGTAGAAAGGAAGAGGCCAAGTGATAGGCACCTGGGCCTTGCAGTTCTCACTCTGGGCACAGCAGTGGGTGCAACAGTCTTTTGCCTGAGGAGTTTCAGAGGAGGATGTGAAGGGCCAGTCCCATTCATCCCAAGCTGCCCCTCAAAATGGGACTAGTTTGGGAAAAAAAAAAAAAAAGATATTCAGAGGAGAGGTTTCAGATTGCTTAGAAGACTGACATTAAGGAGGCAAAGATACATTCAAGGTCTGGCCCAGCTTATTCTACCCTCCACAGCAGTAGTAAAATCAATGGGTCTTGAAATCAGTTTAGTGGGTTATGACCAGCATTTTTTAAGGACCAATAAAATAGAATTGACAATATTGTAGTAAAATGCAAGTAATAAAGTGTATTTTTCGTACAAGTTTTGTTTCAGTTAAATATACCAGTACATTTGCATGTATGAAATGTAAAAGTCATTTTTTTTTTTACTTGTGTGTCAGAGTCAGAAGTCTGAGAAGCACTGCCCTGGAGAAAGGTAGTTTATCACCAGCTTTAACTCTCCCTCCAGGGACAATACAATTTCCCTAAAGCAAGCGATAACCTGACAGTACAATGATACTCTTGGCCCCGAACCTTAAAGGACTCCCTAAGGCTGTTGCTGTTGATTGTTTAGGATTCAAGAAAACTTGGTTGGGAGCCTCGGGGTGTGTTATTGAAGGATCAAGAGTTAAGGGCTGTGTAATATTGTACCCCTGACAGAGATTTCACACCTAAACCATTGACATTAACGTGTACCACTTAATTCAAAACAGACGTGTACTCTTCAGTCATTTGATTTTTCTTGGTTGCCTATCTGGTGAATGAGGTGATGACAGATCTGAGTATTAGACACCTCAGAACTTCAGCCATAACATTATCCCTCATGGGAAAGCAAAGCATTCAAAACCTTGAGGTTTATGTCCCATGTTCTCACCTGGCGAACGGCATAGCTTCCAGGAGATCCCGGGTATCGCTCTATCAGCAACGGCCGTAAGTCATTTTGCCACATTTCAGAAATACTGGTGCCTTCTGCAATTTGCTGAAGAGCCGATGAATTCAAAATTGCTGGTTGGTGATAATTCTGAGGATTAAATAAAATTATTTAACTGGCTATCATTTCATAATAAGTTTGAAACTCTGACATATTTGCAATTAATTGCTTAAAACTTCAAAACAAGGGAGAAGTTTAAGTCAAATCAGGTAAATTAAGATACTCAATTTTAAAATTGGGATCTTAGGGCCAGGCATGGTGGCTCAAGCGTGTAATCTCAACAATCTGGGAGGCTGAGGCAAGAGGACTTCTTGATCCCAGGAGTTTGAGACCAGCCCTGGCAACATAATGAGAGTTTGTCTCTACAAAAAATGAAAAAAAATAGCTAGACATGGGGTCACATGGTACATGTCCATCGTTCCAGCTACTCAAGAGGCTGAGGTGGGAGGATTGCTTGCTGGAGCCCAGGAGGTAGAGGCTGCAGTGAGCAGTGTTGGTGAGCACTACAGCCTGGGCAACACAAGGAGACAAAAATTTAAAAAATAATTTAAAAACCCAACTGTTACCCTAAGTAAATCTTACACAGTTTAGAGGAAGAGTGATCATGGAAGACTTTATAGATTAGCCACAAATTAAGGGGTCCTCAAATTTCAAGTGAGCCTAATTCAAAATTTTATAGTAATTACATGTTGAAATGGTAATTTTTTATATATTAGGTTAAATAAAGTATATTATTAAAATTAATTTTACTTTTTTTACTTTTTAGTGTATCCACTAGAAAAATTAAAATTACATATGTATATATGTAATTTTTATATAATTTTTATATAATTTTTTTTTGAAGTTGGGGTTTCTGTCACCCAGGCTGGGGTACAGAGGCGCAATCTCAGCTCACTGCAATCTCCACCTCCCGGGCTCAAGCAATCCTCCCACCTCAGCTTCCAGAGTAACTGGGTCATTATTTCTACCAGACACTGCCAACTCAGATGATTGTTGCAATTCCTTTCAGCCCACGTTTGGTGAGTCTTACAGCCAACTAAATAGGAAACTTTTTAACTTCAATTAAAATTATTTTAAAATTCCATTAAAGCTCACATAACATTCAAATTTGTATTTTGGATGACTTCACACATACTGTATATTCTTATGATACTGGTAATGATGAACCATTCATTCATTACATGTTTGTCAGGTATTTAGTAATGGAATGTGTTACTCCTCTTCAACAGGAAGAGAATAATTGATCAGATGACATCCTTCTCTAAGGGGAAGGATGAGGATAACATAAGAATATTGAATTATTTGGAAGACAAAACAGAAATTAGGGGAGGCCTATTTTATAGTTCCTTCCAGGACCAGCATTAGTTGAATATGTTTGCATAGTCATGCAAGTATTTTTATTCCATATGAACCAGTCCATGTGACTGGTGTGAAACTGGGCTTAGAGAATGCTTATTGCCTAATCACGTATATTCATTTACACTCTAAGATAGCTGTTTACTTTCTGGTACTACCATGCAAAAAGCATGGGCTGTAGGATCAGACAGACCCTCTCAACTCAGCACCCCACCACCCATTAGCTATAACTCTTTGCAAGTTACTAAACCTCATTAAGACTCATTTTCCTCATCTGTAAAACAAAGGGAATAACATCTGCATCCTAGGGTAACTAGAATTAAGTGAGCTAACATGTAAACTGCTATAGTAAACATTAGATGTATTACTTCCTTCTATCAAACACTAAAGTGGCACAGAATGAATTTTAAAGCTGGAAAAGCCACTTAGAGATGCTCTAGTCTCCAGCCCCCTTCATTTATATCAGTGGAAACTGAGATTCATAGAAAACAGTTGACTTCCTAAGGTTGTAAAAGAGTTACAGGTAAATCCACAAAAAGACCCCCAGTCTGTGGATTTCCAATCCCGGGCTAGTTTTAATCCACCTCACTGTCTCATTTATGCACTCCCAGTTCACTCCTAAATATTAATGCTGTTCCTGAACATCAGAAAATGTATGTTTGTTTACTGGTAGGACATTTTAAAATATATTTCCTTAGTAAATTTGTCAGTGCAACCTTTAAATCCCTTGGTACCTCCAGGATCTAAGTCCTCATGCCAGCTCCCAAACAGCAGTTGAAAAAAGAAAGCTGAAGCTGGAAGACAAAGCAATAGAAATGTGTGAAGGGAAAAGAAGAAAATGGAGGCAAGAGGTCAGAAGACTTCTATAGTTAATTATTACTCAACCTGGGCAACAGAAGCCTGTCCGGTCTCCCCTCTCACCCTTGCTCACCATGCTTCAGTCACCCTGGCATTAGGCCAGGCCCCAAATGCTCTGAGGTTCTGCCCCCATGAGGCTTTGGCTCTGTGGTGCCTTCTGCCTTACAAGCTGTTTCCCTTCCTCTTCACCTGGCTAACTCCTGCTCACTTCAGCTTGTGGCTTAGAGGCCACTTCTTTGTGTGTTTACTTGTTTAATGTCTGTCTTTCATACAAGACATCAGGTCCATAAGGGCTGGAACTCCCTCTCTCTCTCTGTTGTTTACCACTCTCTCCCACACAGGGCACACAGCGCCTGCTTCATCTTGAACATTTGATAACTATTGGGCAAATTAATCAAATAAGCAATCAACAGATGAACTATCTTTCTAAAATGATCTTTGCTAAGACCGTATTTATATAATAATAATGTGGGCATTTTTCTGCCACTGTAAATGGCAAATCTGTTGAATGCAGAAGCAAGCATAAAGACAGAAGAATCAGGTGGCTACCTGTGGCAATGACCAGGAAGTGCTGTGGTTCAATGTTATTGGGTTTTGCTCTTTTTGAATTCCTGACAGTGGATGCTTCTGATGATGAAGAGCTGGGTTGACCCAAGTCACTATGACAACCAAAACTGTTGTGTCAAAGGTTGCTTGACCAGTGGCTCCTTATCTATTTACTGTCTATTACTCTATCCCAAAGCCCACCTGGTCACTGTGGACAGACGCTTTCACTCCATGTCCACAGTGAAACGAAATCACTTGTGTTTAAATGGGTAGTTTCTAGAGGCTTGAAAGAGCTCTTAAGATATTTAAGAAAAAACAGGAACAAAATAAATGCCCCTCCCCCAAGCATCTCTAACCATAAGAGATACTGCGGATGAAACCTAGTTGGCAAATAGCACTAATAAAAATGCTTAATGGATAACTAAAGGGTAAGTCCAGCAGACAGACCAGGCCTATTGATGCTCATGAATCTAGAGACTTATTGTGTTTGCTCCTCAACCATTTAATTAACATACTTCAGTAAAGAACCCTGACTCTCTTTGCCCCTCTGAGGGCAAAGATGCCCCTGTGAAATCAGAGTCAAAATCTTCTCAGTAAGTGAAGGACAGAGATGAAGAAACAACCAACTACACTCAGTCAATTACTTAAATCTTCTATTCGTTAAAGCCCTATATGGAAAAGCATTTGACTCTTTCAGTGTAAATAGCGTGCATTCAATGTTTAAGGAGTCTTATTCTCAGAACTCAATAAATAGGCGGATTTAGGTGGAGATGAGATGAATAAGAGGAGAAAGCTAGATATAAAGAGTGAGTTCAGCAGGAGGAAATTCACTCAGGCAAAAACAATGTTGAACACAGTAGTAAATGCAAACCCCAATTTATTGTAGGTTTATCTCAGTTAAAAGGCACTTAGACAAATTTTCTATCAGTGCAAGTGTTCTCAGAGGAATGAGGCTCTGTTACAGCCACAGTCTTGTATTTTCATCCAGACAGAAAGGACAATAAGTCTGCTCTGAGTGACAAGAATCTTTCAGCTAAAAGTGTGAACCAGATATCCTGAAGCATGCCCTCTAGGCTAATAATGCAGTGACAGGCCAAAGAAGGTTTTAATTACATAATTGATAGAGTTGGCCCAGATTGCAAAGGGTTTTGAGGTTCCAAAACATTGAATTAAAGGGAGATAATTACAGAAATGCAGCCGGCGCAAGTCCTGTTTCTATTCTATGAGTGTCTCCCAGGCAATTCTCAGATTAACACTTCTGTCTGTATGCAGAGTCAACTCAGTCAGCATTTATTGAACTCCTTCTGTGTGTCAGATGCCACTGATATTAAAAATTCAGTGGGGGAATAGTTGGGAACTGAATAAGACACCATTTGTCTTTTTTTTAAATGCAAGCAGCCCTCTACTTAAAAGCAGAGCATTGCAAGCTTTAACCACAGCAATTTAGGGTCAAATCCCAGCTTCCTCACTTATTAGCTGCAAGTAGGAAACAGTCCGTATCTGTAAAATGGATCTCATTGTGCTTACCTACAAGATCAGGCGTCCCCAGACTTTTTACACAGGGGGCCAATTCACTGTCCCTCAGACCGTTGGAGGGCCGCCACATACTGTGCTCCTCTCACTGACCACCAATGAAAGAGGTGCCCCTTCCTGAAGTGTGGCGCGGGGTCGGGGCGGGGGGAGGCAGATAAATGGCCTCGGGGATGTCTGTACTAGACGGTAAGGCTCCAAAATGACATTTTGTCTTTTCCTCTTTACCAACACCCAGCCCCTGCCTGACTTCCTTGTCCCTCCCTTAGAGCCTCCATTTTGTTTCCATTAGAATGCAGCAGCAGCAACAACAACAACAACATACACACACACACACACACACACACACACACAAACGAATAGAAATAAAAACACCATTTTGGTAAATGTTTAACAGCACTTATTTCTTAATAGTGGGATTATGGGTGACATTAGTTTTGTTTCTAGTGTATTTTTCTGTATTTTCCAAGTTTTCTAAAATGAGCACATACCAACTTTATAATTAGAAGACTTCAGTAGAAGCCATGCTTTTTAGTTTATTGGAGCTAATTTTTTTAAGAACATATGAAGCCCTTTGAAAGCCATCACTCATTCATACTTAAGGAGGAATGATTTAATGAGATTCTGTTTAACAGCTGGTTGACAATGTTGTACTAAAGGAATGGGCCTGTATTAAAGGAATAGGGCTGGTGACCAAGAGGTCTGGGGAAGGTTCAGAAGCAGTAACTCTGGAATATGGATCAACACCCAGAATAATGACGACTTTTAAACTGCATGAAGAAGATCAAAGAAAGGAGACA